TATTTGGTGTTATGGATTCAATTTCCAGACCGCTGAAAATTTATTATGATAACACCGCAGCTGTCCTCTTTACTAAAAACGATAAGTATTCCAATGGCGTTAAGCATATGGAGTTGAAATATCTTACAATTAAAGAAGAAGTTCAGAAACAACGAGTGCCTTTTGAAAATATAAGCATACAACTAATGATTGCAGATCCATTAACAAAAGGATTACCACCCAAGCCATTAGGGCATATTGAAAGAATGGGTTTTAAATGTTGTCAAAGTTAATTATTATTTTTGTTGTGGATTGATTAACAATGTTTATATATATTTGACATTTTGAGCTCATTAAAATGTGTTTTTAATATTTATTGTTAATTTATGTATGTACATACATGTATTACTTTAAATGATGAAAACAGGAATAGTCTTTAAAAAAAAAAAAAAAAAAAAAAAAAAAACCATTATTGTTAGATCTTTATTAATACTTCTCACTTATAGACTATGTTAAATGAGTTACTAGTATTGTGGTACATGGAAGGGACTGTGTCATTTAGAGACATACAACCGCTATGACTTACATTGATAGTTTGTTTACCATAGTATTTATGATAACCAACTTAATACTTTAATCTGATTTATGGTGCACATTAATGACTATTTTACTAAACCACTACAGAAGTTATTATATTTGCCAAGTGGGAGAATGTAGGATTATTTAATTAATTGTGGCCTACATGATTTGAACATGTGACATATTACTTGGTGGCTAAGTAAATAGATATCAATTAATATTATTTATTTTTTGGTCAACTTATAATTACCTTTTTGATAATTACTTATTGGAAAAGTATTTTTCTTTCTTATTCCTTACTTTGATGGAAAGTGAAATTAGGTTACTAATAAGGAAAATTAGTCATCTCTCTACCTTTATAAAGTTTTATGTGTGCAAAAGGCCAAGAAAGAGAAACCAGGTGGAACCTTTACCTGTTGACCAGTTGCAGCTTCGTCCGTGGTTAAAGAATCTAGACGTTGAATTTAATCTCAAACAAGGTTTGATATCATGAATCGAGGTATGTATATCTAATTATATATATATTTATGCGTTATAAGGATGTAAAATTAATTAGAGTTCTAAGATTTAAGAATTTATGATTATTTGTGATTAATATCTAACACAAATTAATTAGAGTTTACACTTGTTCGGGAAAAACTTTCTTAATAGCATTCCTCGTTTACAAATATGTTAACGATTGCTTTACTGTGATTGGCTAGAACAAGGCAATAGCTAAAAGGTTTAACTTCATAGAATTGATATGACTCTATGGATCATTAGACATTGAATAATAGTCCCTCAATACGATGAGAAAAGAAACAGCCACTTGTTATTCTGTTGTTTCTCCTTGATTTGCTTCAGGGGAAGAATAAAGAAAACAGAACCTCTCTGATTCAAACCTCAAATTCTCTTCAATTCTATTTGGACTAGTTTGGGAGCATGGAATCAATATCTTGGAATTGAAATTAAAATTAGATGAAACTTAATTCAAATTTTGAAGTAAATTTTCTATAATTTCAAATCATGACACTTATTCTATTCTTCCGAGCACCATTAATTTCTTAGACGGTGTATCACTTCTGGGAAGAGGTATGTGAATTAAACACCCAATCAAGAATATTCAAGTATTTGGATTTAAGACACATATTCCTCTATATCCCATAGCATTAGTCTGTCATGAATAATATATAGGTTTAGTTGTCTCCATAAAATCTGCTTCCGGATCACCCAAAATGGACTTCACCAAGATGAAAACTCTTCCTCTGTTTCGACTGAAAAAAATTGTGCAAAATTTAGTATCGATTATTGCTGAAATTAATTATTGTGGTTTGTGAAGTCTGATCACATAAAAAATTGGGGTGGTGAAACTTGCTGATTTATTGACTTTGGTTTGGCTACTAGGCTACTAGCCTATCTCAATCAGTTGCATGCCAAGTTGCAAGTTTGTTGTGGCAACTGTCAAAACGCAATCAGTTGCATTTGGGTAGTGAGTTCCAAACGTTGGAATACATCAAGCGCAACTAGTTGCACGCAACTGGTTGCATTCTCCTAGTTAGTTGCAAAAATTGCTTTACAATGTTTTTGACTCTACAAAAGGCTAGTCGTGTGGGGTTACTTGAGTTCCTTTTCTATCACTACTTATATACAATCCAAGGACGTAGTGGTGAGGATTGTGAGAGATTTGTGTGATTAATTTGTGTCAACACAAAAAAGAGTAATTAAGAAAAGTTGAGAGTAAATTCTCCATTATAATTTTTAATCTTTTTCATAGTGAAATTTGTTTGGGGCAATCCGTCGATGTAGCCCTAAGTGTTTTTTTTTTAGTAAACAACGTATATCTTGTATTCTTGTGTGTGATTTTTTTTTTTTTTTTTTTTTAATTCGTTGTGATTGCTTGTACTTATTCTTCGAATATCGTTATTTTTTAATTTCTACCATAACAATTGATATCAAAACATTCAGTTATTTTGTTTTGTGTGTTTACGCAACAATAGCATGGGGGCTTCTAATTTATCCATATCCACCCTTGGGCTATTGTAGGGATTTTTTATTATTTTATTTTTTGCCAAAAAGCCTTTTGCACCTTTATAAATTAACAAAACAGTTAATGATATTTAAGAATCAAGAAAAGGAAAAGGCTCGTTTTCTTCCATCATTTGGTTCAATTTCATTGTTGAAAACATGCTCTGTTATGATTCAGAAGTATATTTTAATAAAGAACGGGGTACTCTTTTAATTCATTATCCATTTAAAGTTAGTGCAAGGATGGGTAAGTATTATATAGTTGGTAGATAAGATTGCAACATTACTCGCCAAAAAATAATTAAAAAGAAAAAAGCTTATTTGCAAAGGTTATATATCCAATTGCTGTAATACCAAATTCCACATGTTGATGTCTTGGTTAACTCAATGGTTATTCAAAACTAATATTACTCCATAATATTATTACTCCCTTCGTTTCATAATAAGTGTCATGTATTGAAAATTATGAATTATTCCCTCCATTCCATAATATGAGTTAGTACTCATACTTTAAGTTATTGCAGAAAGAAAAAGAAAAAAAAATTTGAAACAAAACTTTCAAATACAATAGCGTTTAACATGGGTGTACACTTCACACTTATTTTTCTTTTTTCTTTTTTCTTTTTTTTAAGACAATTCCCAAGATACCATATAAAATGCCCCTTCGCATAAGTCCAAAAAAAATTGGACTAAGAATATTATATATATGTTTTTTTTACCTGACAAACAAAAAGATCTTATTTTCAACAAAGTAACAAATACATGGGAAGGAACACACTTAAAGCATACATACAAGTACAGAAATCTAATACGTGCTACCGTCCTAACAAGCTCTATCATGGAACTGCTTGAAGCTTTCACATAGACTAAAAATTATCTACACTTGAAAAGAGGGAAGAGTTTATCGTTCACATGCTCATAATTGTGGGTTCTTCATATTTTAGCTTGTATTTAACTTTTTTTCATAGAGTGAATTGGGTTCCAAATTTCATATGACATTTAGTCATTTACTAGCACATTTTGTCATCTTGTCAATTGAATTGTATATGTTCATCAATTGCATCGTCCACTGTTCATTAATATCTTGATGTCATGATAATATCAATTATTCACATAAAATTAATCGAATTAATTTAATATGTGCACGTTGACCTCTGTGTGTGTATATATATATATATATGTATGGAGAGAGAGAGAGATATATATATATATATATATTTTTTGTTGCGGAAGGCACTTTTCTATATGATCACTTGGTGGTTCAGTCACATAAAATGTGTCTCATGCACATGACAATTCTATGAAAAACTGCTTGCTTCATTATAGTAATATGATTGATGGCTTAGATATATGTGGGAAATTAGATTGCCACTACAGTAGACCAATTTTGGACCCTAAATTTATCAATCTTGAAAAATAAATCTCCCCGATTTGCGTTTGCCTGATCATATCAAACATTTTTGGTGAGTTGTGTTGAATATTTACGGATGCCCAATTGATACGGTGCGATAGGAATCTTGCTTTGTTGAGAATGATCTGATAATATAATGGAGATTGATAGTCTTTTGTTATAATTTGCAAGGCCAGTTTGGATGTTCATCACTAAATACTAAGAAATAATTTAATAATGAAATCAAGTTCGGGACCAGTGCACAGTAACCATTGATCACTAGATCAGAAGTTTCATACACTAAACTCACTCTCTTTAAATAAATAAGTATAAGAGTGTTTTTATTATGAATTTGCACTCTCAATACCCATTAATAATGAATTATTATTATTATTGAAGTGTCAAACTTTTAAGATAAAATATGAAAATGATTGAATTAAAGTGGGAGAGGGGGTTTTCATAATCAAATAGGAAAAACCTTTTGGTTTATGCATAAATTTCATTCAAAGAAGAAGAAGAAGAATTATTATTATTATTGAAGTGTCAAACTTTTAAGATAAAATATGAAAATGATTGAATTAAAGTGGAACAGGGGGTTTTCATAATCAAATAGGAAAAAACTTTTGGTTTATGCACAAATTTCATTCAAATTGCATGATCAGAACTCAGCCCTTTTTTTTTTTTTTTTTTTTTTGATAATAATAACAGGGTCACACATTCACTCTTTTCTCACTATAAGAATTTGAAATCTTAATTAATTTCTACTTAGAATACCACTCAATTAAGCTATATTTGACGGTAATCAGAACTCAAACAGGCCCATAAAGGTGGATTTAGAACTCTACACTTTCTTAGATACGCATAATAGAATTTAAAGAAAGCAAATTTTGACGTACTTGTGTATATATATATATATATATATATATAATAATTTTCTGGAAAATTCGGTGAATTAGTGTCTTCAGGTAATTACTCTCTATTTTCTCTCTCTAGCTATTTTTATGTTTATTATTTTCTAAATTTTTAGTATTTCACAAGAGGAGCAAAGTACTTAATTATCCAACTAATTAAAAAGCTTTGCAGAATTCAAGTATAACTGTTACCATGACAAAGCTGGCTGTGGCATATATATGTGACATAAATTAATGCTAAAAAAAAACATTAATTTGGAGCACTAGAAATTCTGATTAATTTCTTACTAGTAGAGTAATTAACATAAGAGGCTAAGTCCATGGTTGAATGATGATGAGTTGCAAGGGCTTTGATCAGTGGTGGTGGTGATGGGGTGCATGAATTTGCAATTTGGGCATGCAGGAGAAGACTTGCACATCATCACCAACATGTGACACCTCTTGCACACTGCAGTCACCATCTCCCTCTCATCTCCTCCTTCGAACGCCAACCACGACGGAATTCGTGTTAGTCCCCCCGAATTCTTCTTCTTCTTCATGGTTGAATTCACCGTCAACCTCTCATCATCATCATCATCATCATCAATGTCGTCGTTCACGGAGCTACTACCGGAATTAGGGTTCTTGGTGACTGATCCACATGGGAGGTTGAGCTCGAGGTCTAAGCTCATATGGCTAGGACTACTTGGTGGCTCTGGGCTTAACCTTGGATCCTTTGACGTTCTCTTATGAGTCCTTGTATTGTAAAAGTGTATATGTCCAGACTGTAATATTCAAAACAACAAAGCAACGTACATGTTAAGATATCATGTGTGTATTACTCTCGGCTAAGCACGTTTAAATTAATATATCAATTTAAATAATTACAGAAACTGAATATATGTCCGTTGTATGTAAACTAGTGTTTCGAAATTATAATTTGAAAAAATAATAATAATTTCAATTTCAAAACACCAATTCTGATAGTAATTTGAGAAGTACGTACCTTAATATCGAGGCATCGTTGCCAGTCCAAAGGCAAGGGAGTCTCTAGGCGTAGCTGATCAGTTTTAAAGGTGGATTTGAGGCTTTTGGCTTTGAATGGGCTCTGGAGGACCTCTTCAACTTCAGTGTCTTCCAATTTTCTCTTCTTCGATAGATTTTCAATTAGCTCTGGAATTGTGTTTCTTTTAGTTGGTGAGAGGGGTGTGTGGAAGGAAACCATGGTTTCAATACAAAGATATTGATCACCTTCTCTCTCTAGATTTCTCTCTCTGGTATCATTCAAATGATGAATGTTATGGGTGGTGGTTATATATATATATATAGAGAGAGAGAGAGAGAGAGGGAGAGAAGGAGAGGGTAATAGTGTAAAAGAGAGAATCTAAGAAAGACTTGTAAAAGAAGGATAATTAAAAAGCGGTCCACCTCATGATGACGTGGTATTCAGGTGAAGTTTGGGTTTTCATCTGTATAGCTCCAACTTGTTCTCTAATTAAAGCTTGAATGGCTGTCTTCCCTAAATAACCTTAATGGTAACTTCTTGGCGCTAAAAAGTAGATGCGTTAATTCACTGCTTATAAAATGATATATATATATACACACCCACTAACATGTACAAGAAAATGCCTCTCAAAATGAAAAAAAAATACAAATGAATTAAAGAAAATGATCTAATAGATGAGTTGAAGTCGATCTTTTATATTTATTGTTAGATACAAGTGATGCGGTTCAAATATGAGTTCACTAAATCACCGTATCACTTGCAACTAACAAATAAAAACATATCAGCTAAGAATTTTGATATAGATATATGGTATAGATACAGTACGTAGATAAATACATGAGAAAAATGTAATTAGGTGAGTTGATATATATTTTGTGGTTTGTCTTTGGGTTTGTTTATTCATCCTAATTTCTTAACTTGAATAATTTTGCGTGTGTCAAGAATGAAATGGCGCTACTTAATCAAACGAAATTATGTTCTCATCAACAACATGCTAGAAAATGAAAAACCATAATTACCCGTTGAATTTAAGGATAGGTTCAACCTATGCATATATAATGTCATACGTGATATATCTAATATCTTACCTATTATTTTCGTGACATACATGATATATCTAATGTCAAAGAATGCATTAATGTTAGTCTACCTTACCGTTGAATTTAAGGATGGGTTCAACCTATACATATGTATAATTTACATTATCTTACCTATTATTTTCGTGACATACATGTTATATCTAATGTCAAAGAATTCATTAATCTTAGTCTACCTTACTAAGACCCTGCGATTTTTCAGTCTGACATATAGTATCTTGATTGCACCCAGTCTATTTGCTTACGCGGCGTTATATATATATATTACCTGGAAAAGAAAGCCAATTTAATATGTGTGTGTGTGTGTGTGTATATATATATAGATGGATTTGTTATTATATATAGGCGGTGACGTTTAGTGAGAGATAGAGAGAGATAAAGAGAGAGAGAGGAATAGTCAATAAATGTGGTAGACTATAAACAGTTGAAGAAGGAATTGAATGCCTATCAATATTTAATGGTTATAATAACTCCAACTTCCATGAGCTATGAAAATTAGTCGTTCTTTGAACTACAAACTTTTAAAGCTCACAACGGCCTCAGCTATTAATTATAAACAACCACATTTGATGACCTATATGAATTAATATCTCTTCCAATTAATATATACTACAAACCTCTATAGATATATATATATATATCACATTTTCTTTAGAAAACCAAAAGCCTTCAACCGAATTTTTTGGTCCCAAATTATCTACTATATCATTTATATATATTTAATACTCTTTTGTGCTCTGCACATTCTGAAATTACGTAAACACCCTTGGCTAATGCAATTGCAACCTGCTTCCTTTGCAATCCTTCACTAGCTTTGTCAAATTTATTGTCATTATATTGACAACCTTATTTAGAATTAAAATTCAAATAACAATGCTAGTTGAGGGATTTATGTCTATTGTATAAGAATAAGTTATTCAATTCATTCAATGAATGAAAAATCTTGACTAGCATTCTTGATTTGACCATCAAGATGAATTTTATTTGTAAAACTTTTTTTCAACGAAAATAGATCAAATGCATGTAGGATAAGTTAGTGTTACGGTTAATCCCACTAGGTTGGCTTAGCGGGTGGGAACTTAAGTCCTGATGCCTCATGAAGCATCAAGTCTCAGATTTGAGACATAGATAAACAATTTTCGTAAAAATAAGTATTTGAGTATCAACTAAATTAAAGAAAAATGAGTTAGTGTTATGGTTATTAGAGATTCGAACCCTTAACCTGGCATTTGAAAGCATTATTGGTACTGACCACTTAATTAACTTAATTAAATTGGTGAGGGACTTGATCGATCAATAGATTACAAAGCTATATGACCAGTGCCAAAAGAGTAAGACACTAAAAAAGCTCCTTTAAATTCTGAGGGGCATTCTTGTAAGGAAGTCAGAACCTATATTTCTATATTGAAAATTGGAATAAATATAGGGAAATAGAAAATCCAGGGGGGCCAAATCTATTTAAGGCTTTGAGAGTGTGTGTGTGTATTGTGTGTGTGAAGGTTTAAGTAAGTCCACCTGCCTTCATTAAATCATCTTGAATTCACTTTAAATGCAGAATTGAAGGATGGGCATTGAAACACCTCGCTTTCTACAAACATCTTTTTCGTCATTCTCACCACCTGTTTCTGTTAAATGCCCCCAACCCACCTCTACTTCCTTTCATTTAAGTTAACCTCTCCCCTTCTCTCAAAATTGAAAAAATATGGTATTAGATATTATTTTGGGCTTCAAAACCATATGGTACGAGAATAACTACAAGAAGCAACTTCAATTATTAGATCGATTTAGATCATAGGCCACTTGGTGTCATGTCTAGGTTTGTTTGTAACATCTTATTAAAATTCATCTACTGCAATTAAAAGACTTCAATTTTCATATTTTAATCTCCCAGCACACGTTCTCTCACACAATTCAGAGATATTTATATATTTGTTCATTAAAAAAAATTTAATTTATTATTTTGAACACTTGAAGCAATTGGACACTTCTCAAACGCTTAAAGTGACACTTTCCAGACATTTTTAATACAAGTTTTATATACACAAACAAATGTAAAACAGTCATATTTGGTAATTTTGAAAATAATATAAACACGTTATAAAGTGTTTAACTTTTTTCTTTTAATAATTATTGGCATTATATATACTTGTTCATTTAAAACAAATTAATGGTACAGATGATATAAATAATGAAGTAATTTCATTTTCTAAATCATTTTAGAATAACTTTATTTGATATCGTTATTCAGCACTTAACACCCAACAAATTTTTAAAATTAGCGTATTTGACAACATTTAGGTTACCACTTAAAATGTTACACAGTAGATTAAAACAGACCAAAATTTTAAGCGTTACGGGTCTTACTTAACTTTTATCGCAAAAGACGGTAACTGATTTTAATTAGGTTTTAAAATATTTTGTTACCCTCAAATATTATATTTTTAGGTTGTCCTTCACTTCTTCAACTCTTGAAATTAAAAGTATTGACGCTACTTTTGAAATTAAATGTATTGATGGACTTTCTAGCTATTTCCACTTTGTATTTCTATTCCGTTCCGATTGATTTTTTTTTTAAATTTACCCCAATTTCTCAAAGGTTTCATTGTACTTTTCTTCTCAAATAATGTAAATATAAATAATATTCAGCAAAATATAAATATATATATATATATATATATATATATATATATATATATAAACTATATGGCTTACTCAAGTTTATAATCAACAATCATGCAATGAAACCCTCACACCATTGTTAATTATAATACAAACCTACTATATAAATAAAAATCGAATGATTTGTGAGTGAATTTTATTCTCCTTCTCATAAATATTTCATTTTCATAAGTTTTCATTTTATATATTGATTTTGAAATTTTTATGATCAATTTTGACATTCATATTCATTGTTAAATTAATATATTTCTTTGGTGAAATTCATTCTTTTATATATGTGTTTATGTTTTAATATAATATCTTTTATAATAATATTATGTATATAAGATATTCAAGACAAAAATGTAATATATACAACATTCAAATTTTTGCTTTTGCATTTAACAAACAATCTTAATGAATTCAGTGCTTAAAATTAATACAATATCAAACAAGTTTACAGATTAATATATTCAGCACTAAAAATTTCAGCACTTTAAAATTCAGTACTTAAAATTTTCAATACTTAATTTTCAATTTTATCAAACAGCAGTATAGAAATCAAAAATGAATTAAGATTTTATAATATTCTTACCCAATAAATATATATAAATTAGAATTCATATTTATATATAGTTATATTCACATTGTACTCGTGTCTTACCTTTTTTAAATTTATTCTATGAATGTATATATTCATATCTATGCTACTTAGATGCGCAGAGATATCACCTAATCCGTAATCCCCGACATATACGCGTGATGGATAAAGGTCTGGTTGTAGTTGTTAGGCCACGAACCATAGCCCTTGCCCTATATACAATTTTTTATTGTGGGTAATGATATTTAGACCCATTTATATAATTCATTTACCATTTATATCGATAATTCATTTACCATTATATTGATTGTATTTCCTACAAGTTGACTTCCAGTTTCCCAAAGTAATAAATAAATAAATAATATATATATATATATATATATATATATATATATATATAATGTTTATTGGACATTAATACTAGATTTTTTTATATAACAAAATCTCGTCAGGTCCCATGGCGTGACACTACATTTGGATATGTGAATGCAGGCTACTATAATATGAATATGTAGTATTTGGCTAATTTCTTCATGTAAAGTCACATAAGAATGGGTACGAGTAAGTTTGGAAACTCTCATGCATGTGACATCTCTATATTTCATACGTGATTCCACAAAAATGAATTTTTATTTAGAATAACAAGAATTGTGTTTATATAGCCCATATATAAGTCTATGAGATTATTACAAATCCCTTTAGGAGAAATAAAATTGTATTTTATTGTCTTTACAAATAAAACATTGTTATTCAGGCCCAAAAGTCTAGCGGAGAATCTTCACTAGACTATTAGATCCGTAACTCATGACCTTTACAAATATTATCAATGATGCATAAACCTAAAAAGAATTTTAAGAACTTTCCATTCAACATTTTTTGTTAACCTTACTTTGGTTCACCAATAAACAGATCGAGAAAATGTGATGTAGAATAGAATTCTAAAATAGCTCGGGCTACCATACTTATGGGATTCCCCGTCATTGGATGTGATTGTAAAACCTAAATGATTCAATGGCTTGGGACATAATCTCCTGTTTCCTTTCCATATATTTTCTCATTGGTGAGTATAGGTACATTGTGTGTGTGTGTGTGTGTGTGTACGTATGGTTCTGCAGCATCTTACATGTATACATATGATTCTGCATGCAGCATCTTACAAAATGCTCAGATGTCCTAATAAATTACTTATTGGATTGCATGCAATACTATTTGACCAGTATTTGACCAGTCAACGTAAGAAATAACTAGCAAATAAGGACCTCATAACCTTAACGTCTTTATTTCTGCTACATATTTTGTGAACCAATTTTTGTGTTCAAGGCAGGCATATGTCTCATAAGTGGTCAAATGAACATTTAACCATTCATTTATTTATGATCAGGGTTTACGGTAACTGATGGTCCTATTTTTTTTTTTTTTTTTTTTTATAGTAAAATCTGTATCAGGACCAAGGGTCCTACCTTTCTAACTAGACTTAAAAGGGTACCCTTCACAGATCTGTGGCCAGTTGACAGTCAGACTCTGTTGGTTGTTGGGTGCAATTGTTTTAGTGTCTAGGGACGACATTCGCATCACATATACATACCCTTGATGTCATTTCTTTTCATATTTCATTTTAATTTGTAAGCTGTTCACCTGACTTTTATTCCATATGATTGTTCAAACCCAACTTTGACTCATAAACTAGTCTCGATGGGGATAAATGGTCCATGAATTTCTTTTCTTTTCTTTTCTTTTTCTGTAATTAAGTAATTCTCATAAAAGAAAGAGTAGACACAAAAAAAATGAGGGCATTTTCTCAGCCCAAACATTGCAGAACTGGGCAATAAAGAAAAAAAACAAGTATCCACTAATGTGGCCCAAAGAACGCAATTAGAAGCCCAAACAATGACTAACCCACAGACGAACAAAATACTTCCTTCTGCACACAGGTATGTAACTACCTTCAAACACATCCTCGGGTGGGATGAATCAACAAATCATAAAGTACCAACATTACTGGGGTATGGTTGAAGGTGGTTGAGCGGAGGTGGTGGTGTATGTGGTGGAGGGTGTGCGTGGTGGGTGGTTGTGAAATGGAAGAAAGGATTTGAGTGGGTAAGCTCATAAAATGATGATGGGAGATTCCAATTTGCCGCAATTTCTTCTGCAAATGGGCATTCAAATTTCTTGACAGAGAAAAACTTCAATCTGATTGCATTGATCACATAATTTTTTGGTACATGAATTTCTATATAATGTCAATTATACTTGTAAATGCAAGTCAAACGAGATTCATCAACATTAATCTGCTAAGATTGCTAGCATGATGTCTCAAGTTCGAACCTTTAAATAGTATCAAGAATTTACGCACAAGACTTTCATGTCTTTTCTTCTTCTTCTTCTTCTTTTTTATTATTTTTTTTTTTTTGACAGGTTCTCGTTAGACATGATTCATTGTTCAAACCTAACTTGGACTTCAAATATAATTTCAATTGTACTTATAAATTCAAGTCAAACAAGATTCATCAAATTTTGACCATTTATTGGTTTACAAAATTCATGCCCTCTCATGATAAACAAATAGCTAGAGCATTACTTTACATCCTTTCTCCTTCAGTAAGAATGTCAAATTAGTCAGATAAATCCTAAATTAAATCTCAACAATTTGACTAAGAAAAATTATATGTCTAATCTTTTTACCATTTATAGAGTTGGGACTGAATTTATCCAATAAAATAATGTGTTCAAGAGCTCTTCAATAAGAATAATAATTTGGAGTCTGAAAGTCGACTAACTCCGACTAATTTACGTGAGTGGAGGCTAACATCATCATGATGTTATTAATATTTCTGATATTATGATGATATCAGCATCTACTCATATAAAATTAGTCAAATATCCATCCGACCGTCGTACTCTTTATCATTAGAGCATCTCAAACAATCTATTAAAAAATCATTTTGTGTAAAATATACACAATATATAAAACTTTTTTTTATCTCAAACAATATGTTAAGGTACATTGCCACCACACCAATGTGTAATATTGTTGTGTATTTTGCACAACTTTTTTACACAGCCATATCAGTATATTTTATCTCTTCTCCCTCTTTCTCATCCCCCCCCTCCCGATAAATGACTCTTTCTCATTTTATTAACGAATCAATTCTATGTTAAGTAGGTTTGTAAAAATTGAGTGGGATTGGGCATGACAAGTGATTGGTTGTTATTGGCATATATATATATATATATATATATGCAAAAGATATAAAATAATAGCTGAAGTTAAAATAATTAGTTCAATTTTTTTTTTGTATAAATTTATTATGACACATCAAATAAAAATAAAAATAAAAACTACACATTCTATAATGGCCTACTTGATTTGAAATTGAATGATGCCGACAATGGTTCAAATATTCTTGTGTCCATCAACAAAATCTGGTCCAACTACCAACTTTGTTGTAGTGGTATTGTAAATTAGAATACCACATTTCTGAACTTTATGGTAAACCTAATCTGCCTTAAACATTAATTCTTGGTTCATTACACTTCAATATGGTATGGTACAGAAATGCTGGCAAACCAGATATACAGAGTCACATATTTGAGGATTTTGTTGACTCTTTTATTGAATGTAAATCAAGATTATGTTCAAAGGGTCCAGAACTTCTCATCCATGGGTTGGCAACAGACAATATTAAAGCTGGAAGGTCAACATCTGACTTGAAACTATAATGTTTCTTTGTTCAACTAGAGCAACTTTGCTAGTGGATTCAAACACAATCCAGTGCCAAATTTAAAACAACGAAACAAGCCTTTTCCACAAGCAGCGACATTTATATATGCTGGCATTTTCTGAATTAAGGGAAGCATTAAAGCTTACAACGGTAAAACCAAAGATATATTCTGATGTAGATCTAATTGCCGAAGCCTTTAGGGCCCGTTTGTACTGTCACATGGCCAAACAGACATGCTCACAGATTTTTTGGATTGATCCCGAGGTGTCCATTTTTTACCCAACAGAATAGTTTTTTTAATGAAAATGGTCCAACGAGCAAGACTCACTGCTATGCTTTGATGTACGCCGTTTTCGGCAAAATACCATCATTTAGGGCCTCAAAACGAAGTTCTTCTGTCCTATAAGAAGCCTCTCGAATATTTCAGAATTTTTTTTCGTTGTCTAAATGAACTTGGGTTGCACTCATATTTTATATTTAGTAGTTTTATTTTATTAGGTTTCTTTCTCTATTTTTTTGAGAATTTTTAGAGAAATTTTATTTTTAGGCTTATTTTTTAGTATTATTTTCATGAGCTAAAAAGGCTGTTTTTAAAGGCCATGTAAATGAGGATGATGGAGGTTAGGTATTTGCAGGCTTGTGCATATGGTTGTCTTTGTCCACTGTACCTTGTGCTTTTGCTTTCCAAAATTCTTGTTGAACTCTGATGTCCACCAATACAGCACAATTCACAATCAGAAGTTTAATTAAAATGGTTGTTGGTATTATCTTTCCATTGTTGTTGCCACATACCTTTCACAGTTTTAATACTCATTTTTTTCTCATATTTCTTAAATGAACAATTTTAATAACACCATCAGAATAAATTCCAAAAGACCCTTAATTTAGATTACACATATGGATCTTACAATGCAGTGGTACCATTTTCAACAATGCAGATAAGTACTAGTCTAAGGCTGACGCCTAACAAATCTACCCCAGTACCAATGCTTCTCCCACACAGCATACATTGAGTTCAAAGGGATCCCTTTAGTCTCCGGCATGAAAAAATAAACGAAAATGGTCATCACGGCGATCCAGCATGCGTAGAACAGGAAAGCACCGAATTTGAAGTGGCATAGCATAGCCAAGAACGTTTGTGACAGCACAAATGTGGTAGCAAAGTTTACAGCAACACTTATGCTTTGTCCGGTTGTTCGGATCTCCATTGGAAATATTTCGCTTGGAATGAGCCAGCTTAGAGGCCCCCATGACCAACCAAAACCAGAAGCATATAAGCACATTAGCACAAGTACTAGTATAGAGTCACCCTTGCTGATGTGCTTGGTGCCAGAAGTACCCGCTGCCACGGCCAGCACAGCTGCCACTATCGCCTTCAACAAAGATGCCACCAGAAAATCAAAGGTCAATAACAATTTGTAAGAATGTTTAGTTCAAATTAGCTTGAATCTAACATGCGTTAGGAATAACTGCCTAGAGAGTGAAGCCTTTGTTTGATTCAATGTTGGATGTGTGTGTGTGTGTATATATATATATATATATATAGATCCATTTGCTACTAGCTTACCTGTATAATATCTTTATGCAGAATATTGAACAAAATGTAAACTGTGTTGGCTTGACATTAACCTATAACTGAATTTCTGGTTGGTTCCTCCATTTCTTATTAAATGGCCAACGAACCATCTATGTATAATATAACTGTCCCTAAACACAAGAACCCTCATCCCCAATGTTAATGTCAGAATCCATATTTGGGTCTGAACTTAAGTCAGATCCTATTGGCATGATCCATATCCAACCCATTGTCCGTTTTTTAAATTCGGACTTATAATCCAAATCCGATAAAATGAATTTTGGGTCGATTTGGATCTTGAATCAAACTCAGTCCAATGCACACCCACCCAATAAAATCCCTAATAGGAATTAGAACCAATTACAAGAATCAACCAGTGGTCATGGAGTCAATTTGGAATGGGCTTGAAGGTACAAGTTGAATGCTAATCATCATGACATTAGGGCTCAACCCCCAAACATAAGCCGATCAAGTTTTAGGTTTGATTGGACCCGAGTAGCCCTACAATAAGTGGAACTATAACTTTTCGTCTCTAGGCCTATATCAAATAGAGTACCCAGCATTAGTTTACATATAATATAAGTAAAGGAAAATGCTTCTCTAGCTAACCTATGACAAGAACCGAATTCATGCACCGAAGGGCTCTCAGCTCCCACTGCATACATCTAAGGGCTAAATTTGGTGCTACTTTTCCGTTAGAGTAGCACCCCCTCAACGGTTGATGAGAGTGCATTCACATGAAAGCACTCTAATGATATACTTCTTTATGCAACATTCTAACTAAGTTATTTATCGGGGAAAGAAAAGGGAAAAAAAATAATTCTAATTAAGTTACTGATATGAATGCATACCTGACAGATGCACATTTGAATCCCCCCCTCCATGAACAAAAATCTTCGACCATAACGATCAATGACAAAAGAGGACACAAGGATTGAGCAGAGGTTAACCACTCCTAGTATAATGGCAGCTATTAGAGCCGAGTCACTTCCAAAGCCCACTGACTGAAAGAGGACAGGGGCATAGAAAGCAATGATGTTAATCCCTGTGAGTTGTTGAAAAAATGGTATGGCAATGGACATTACAAGGTGAGGCCGATATTGCCTTTCAAATATTGTCTTAAATGGCTCCTGGTCTGCAGCTTTTGCCATTTCACTATACTTAATAAGATCAGCTAGCTCAGCTTCAACGTCACTTCCTCGAACTCTGCTTAAGGATTTACGAGCTTGTGCTACCTTGCCACGCTCCACAAGGCTGCTAGGCGTGTCTGAGATTAGAAGTGCACCAAATGTCATGATGGCAGCTGGTACTACGGCAAGGCCGAGGGAGAGACGCCAGCCCCAGCTGATCCTGGCAGTGCCATAATTCAAGCAATTGGCTGTCAACACCCCAATGCCTATGAAGAATTGGAAGCCTGTCCCAAATGCACCGCGCCATTTTGGTGGCGCCATCTCTGAGAGGAAAACAGGAGTTGCCTTCATGGAAATGATGGAAGAGTCATCAATGAATTTCTCAAAGAAATCGCAAACTAGGAAAAGAAAAACCAAATGACATTAATATAAAAACCTCTGCCTTACTTTCCTAAGTATTTTCATCTTTTTTCTTTTACTGTCAAAAGTATGATTCCACATTTTATTTTGCTTCTTCCATTGATCCTTTGTTTTTCTCAACTTACAAAATTTGAAGATATATATATTTATAGAATTTCTTTATTACCAATAAAAGAGTTCTATGATTTCTATCCTATTTTCCTTTAATTTTCTTTACATTCTCTTCTGTGTTCATTTAATCTGCAAACCTAATGTAACATGAGAAATTTCTGTGCCATATGAGATACAACTGCTTAGCTATACCTTAAGTCCGTATTTCAATACAAAGGACCTTATCTTTCATCTTCGAGGGGTGGATACCCTATAATATTCAAACATGAGCCAACAGAACCGTATTTCAATGCAAAGGACCTTAATTACAATAGAATATATAAAATATGCTAGCGGATTATCAATTTAGACAAACCTGCTACTGTTTTAAGCAGCTCAAAATTGCACCTCTAGTTATAAATAGCAATTGATAACATCCAGTTACCTGGTTAGTGAAGCCAACTCCAAATCCGAGCATGATACGACCCAAGATGAGCATGGCAATATTTTCAGCAAAACCATTGATAGCAGCACCAGCCAAAAAGGTACAACCACCCAGCACCATGATGCCTTTGCGGCCCAAAGCTGCTGTGAGGCGACTAGCCAAAAGGGAGGCAGCTAACCCTGCTATGTATAGTGAAGATGTGAATGCAGTTAGAACCTGGCTATCGTAAACACAATAGATGTTCGTTTTGGCATTTGCCGCGTTCCTCAGAATCGATGGGAAGAATTTTTGGAGAAATGATTTCATGGTTGTCACACCTCCTGTAATTGACAGAAAATGAGGTAAATTTGTTAGTTTGTTGAAGCCAATTGCTTTCACTAGTACTCTTATTTTCTGATTTTATGCTCAATATTAATAATTCACCAACTTAACTTTTAATTTACTGTCTAGTTTGAGTAATGTGTTTGTTAGGGTAACATTTTATCTAATTTTCAAAATAAATAAATAAATTATTCATCACCATGATTGGCTAAACACAGGAGCTGAGCTATGTTGAGTACCCCAAAATTTTGAAAATCCTATTTAACCCGACCTAAAATAGTTAAAATTAACATTAAAAACTACTAAAATGATTTATTTACCAAAAAAATATGAAAAAGATTTAACATTAACCCCTCCCCCCCAAAGCTCATAAATAATTTCAATTTGGAATCTTTAAAACTTTATTTTATGAAATCACATTATTTCTTTTTCTCCTTATTTAAATTTTTCTTTTTACTTTATATATTTTGTGCCCATTATATATATATATATATATATATATATATATATATATATATATATATATATATATATATCATGTGCCTGCAATATCTTCTCTTCTTCAAAAGTATCCTTTTGAGACCATGTGGGCAGACAAATTCTTGGTACTCCTAATTATTTGGTGAAAATTCAAAGTAATTAGATTATATAGTGGTGAATTGAGTCACTCGCACTGTTTTCAAATCAATTCTTGTTCCCCATTTTAATTTATTGTCTAGTTTGAGTAATGTGTTTGTTAGGGTAACATTTTATCTAATTTTCAAAATAAATAAATAAATTATTCATTTCCATGATTGGCTAAACACAGAAGCTGAGCTGTGTTGAGCCCTCAAATTTTTGAAAATCATATTTAACATGGCCCTAAAATAGTTAAAATTAACATTAAAAATACTAAAATGATTTATTTCCCAAAAAGATATTAAAAAGATTTAACATTAACCCCACAAAGCTGATAAATAATTTCAATTTATACAAATCAATCTGTCAAAAAAAAAATTTGAAATAAATTTTTTTTTACAGGAGAGAGGACTTAAACATGTATGGTGGTTGTTTGATATGGATTCAATATTCATCTAACAGTCAACACTATGGCTTGACTTAACTAATTTGATGCATGAAAGACATTTCAGAACCTGAGTTTTTAGTTCTTTCTTCATCTACTAACACCCACAATTGCTCAATGTCATACACACACATATACACAGGGACGGACCCAGCAGGGGACTAGGGGGGCATCTGCCCCCCCTGAATTTTTAATATTTTCATTTTATACCTTAATGTTTTTAAAATTTATGAAAATGCCCACCTAAAATTACAATTCGCCCCCACTGGATTCTTTTTTTTTTAGCATTTTATATTTCAAATTTTGATAATTTATGAAGATGCCCCACTATAATTATAATTTGCCCACTGAATTTTTTTTTTTTCATTTTATACTTAAATTTTTTAAAAATTTATGAAAAAAATCCTATTAAAATTATAAAAATGAACCCATCATATAATTTTGTACCTACAAATTAAAAATTCGCCCCCCCTCACCAAATTTTCTGGGTCCGTCACTGCATATACATATATACTGTGTGTCTCTGTGTGTGAAAGAGAGAGTGTGTGTGTTTTTTCTTGACAAATGTATAATATACAGGACAAAAGACAAGCAAAAGGAACTTTAATTTTTAAAGGGAAAAAATAAATAAAAGAAGAGGCGCGAACCTGAAATTCCGATATCGTAGCCAAACAAGAGGCCACCTGATGCAGCGACGATGCAGGTGATCACTACGGACGCAGTGATCCTCTCATTAAAGCCGCTGACATGTCCGTCAACGGCAAATGACCCTGTAGCCATTCGCTCTTAATTTCTCTCCCTTTCTCTCTGTTTCTGGCTGTCCAAACAGTCAATACACTCTCACACAGACACACACACAAAAGCGTTGGTTGTATGCATATATTAGCAAAATTCTGTGAGGTCAGTGGCACGTTACATCTAACGAAATAGCTGTTACAAAAATAAAAAATTCTTTTCCACCTTTTATAAGTAATAAAAGTTTAATCCTACTCTTAACGACTTAATAAAATGGGAAATGAAAATTTTATTAAAAAAATATCTCATTATTGTATTTGATTTTATTTATTTATTTATTTTGATACGAAATTTGATCTTCTTTACTTACAATTTTTCATCTGTTTAAAATTTTACACCAGAGATAGAAACAGAAGAATAATTATTATAATATACACATGACGGTTACTCCCTTTAATGTTTTTCATATTTTTGATCTACCATATGTAGCTCCTGACGCGTCTTTATCGACTAATAACAACGAGATCACCCTATCTATTCAGAAATATAAAAAGTGACAACTCCTTCTCACCCATATTTTTTACTTTAAATGTTTCGTACATTTTTTGTAGAATAATGATAAGTAGTTCAAAAGTCAACTATTTTATATGAGTAGAGCATAATATAATCAAGATATCATTAAATATAATGATATAACAATGACATCTTTCTTACTTACATAATTTTAGTGAAATATGTCTGATTGTGAAACTCTGTATCATTATTTTGCTTTCCATGATTCATTTCTTTCATTTTTCCATTTATCTTACCGAACCAAGCATAAAGGTTATTGCTTAATGCACTCAAGTATGAGTTCATACTTCTTTCTAGAATAGTAAAGCGTAAAAATATGAGTTCTTATTTCAAGTAGTTTGATTATCAATTTTGTGTAAATAATATAATCATTTTCTTTTACCCTTCTAAGCAAAAGTGATCACAAAAAATCTTGTAAAAAGTTAGACATATTTACACAATTATTAACACAATAAGTCAAGGAATTGTGATTGGTCTCAAGAAAATTGCGGACAACCCATTCTCGTCGGTGTAGTTTGACGATGATCAATCAAAATCCTAAAATAGAAAGGAAAAATAAAAATAAAAATAAAAACAAAATGATGAGAATTGTTGTTATATATCGAAAGTAATAAAACATGTGGCTTGAATTCATTAAAAATAGAAATAGTTTAATACAACTAGTATGAGTAGATAAGCACGAGCTCAACACACTGTTTTACCTAATGGCTATATGAGGAGTCTGCTCATGTAAAGACAAAATTTATTCTGAACCCCTTTTAAATTGGAAGTGACAACTGTCAAACTCAATACTAGCTGTCTGATTTTTTTTTTTTTTTTATATTTATATATATATATACAACTCAAAGGAATAGGATTTTCTTTTTCTTTTTCCTATGTTTTTAGACAAAAGTAAAGGAGGAGGATGGGGAACAGAGCTTGAACAAACTGAGAAAAAAATCTTGTATCCAATTAATTTATATCAGTAAAAATTATTGTTATTTTTATATTATTAAATATGATGATATTATTATAATATTATTTTTTACTAACATAAATCTAGTCGAATATGTATCATTACTTTTTAAATTGAGTAAAAAACACATTTCATAAAAAGATATGACATTAAATTGGGTAAGACCTAAGTCACATAGAGCGGGAACACGAGAGCGGCATATCCCAAAAAATTTTAAAGCTGGAGCGCCGCTAGAACGCCGCATTATAAATATATAAAATATTAATTTATAATAATAAATATATGTTTTAAATAAATTTCATGCAAAAAAAAAAAGACAGAATAGTGAATCAAATATGAGTCCATTATAACCAATATAACCTGCTTTATAAAAATGCATAAATTAACAAACATAACAATCAAACAAGCTGCTTTATAAAAATAAAAACATAACAGTGACTTGGGCATAACATAAAAAACAATATTCAAAAGCATTGTCTTTTATACATTTAACTTACTTTAAACTCTCAAGATGATAATCATTGTCATTGAAATAGCAATGTTCAAAAGTAAAAGAAAAAGACAATAATACTTCAGTTTGCAAATTCTACCACTAAACTTCAAAACAAACATGAAATATTCAAACTTTCAAACCCAAAAGCTAATGAAGGTAAGTTTCATAAGTATTATTTAAATATTAAGTATATTGTTATATAACTTATATTATTTGATTTTTATCTATAAAGAACAGAGTTTACTTAATTAAATTAAATTGATTACTTTTTGACATAATTAACGTTATTTGGTCTATTTAAGTTGAGGGTAAAATCGAAATTTATCAAGATTCACACTAAATTCGTAAATTTATTGTCAAAAGTCGTCGAATTCTTGAACAAAATACACGATTTTATTTTACACAATTCGTCGAAATGAACTTTAAAAACCAGCAAATTCTTAAATTGAATTCGCGAATTCAAAAACATGAGAGCGTGAATTTTTGGTGAATTCACTCTCAAAACGTTAATTTGCGCACAGAGCGATGGAGCGCCAGTAGTTTGAGCAAATTATGTGACTTAGGGTAAGAAACACATTTCATAGAAAGATATGACACACATTTCATAGAAAGATATGACACACGTGCCATGCAAATCGATATAACAATTATAGAAAATATTTAATTCAGATATGCAACTAATGTATTTTTAATAAGCATCTTCAAATTCTGTCGGGGCTCTTTTGAAAAAAAATATATATATATCCAATGATCACTGATATGCATATATTTTGGCCCTCTTGTTGTTTGTATTCTTATACTCTTGACCTTTGCTATGGTTATGTAGATGATTTTATCGAGATAAGAAATTATTTATTGTAATCATTGCAACGATGATATGGTACAACGAATGAAAACACTTTTTTCAATACTCTTAGTAAAAAAAGGGAGAGAAAAAAAAATTGCAACTCACGTATACAACAAATTACATCAAACTACAACAATTTAATACAACATGCAGGAGAGTGTGTGTGTGTGTATATATGTCTTGTCTCAAATATCAGTATAGTATTTTTAACAAAGTGTTATTCAATTGAATCAATTTAATGTAACATATTATCAAACTCTAAGAATGAAGTACTCAATAATAAAATCAACCCACCTGCTAGTTACTTTGGATGTTTGCGAACTTCGATGCAAACTTCGAATATGTGTAATTATCGACAAAACTACATATATTATTTAAGTCCGAATATTCAGACTTTATAAGAATCGAACCCAAAACATCCCAGTTCACTACACCCAAAAAAAAAAAAACAAAAAAAAACTCGTTACCGAATAAAAATAGTGATGAATGAATTTTATAAGTACCAATTTTAATAAATAAATAATGTGTGAGAGTGAGAGAGTTGAAGATGGGAATTGCACTCTATTTGGAAAAAATTCGTTTGTTAAGTGAGACACACTGGAGAGAACCTTTTAGAACATTCGTTAGAATGAATTTTTTTCATTGTGAGTAGTAATTTACATCAAATGTGTATTATCTAATGATATTGTTCAACTAAAAAAAAAAGATATATCTTATTTGTTAAGTTTCAAATGTGTGCCAGAATTAAAGTCCATTCCATTTATAGATGTATAGGAGTATTAACTAATCATGTTCAAACACAAAGAATATTATTAAAAAAGGAATATTTTTTAAATTGCATATCACTTTTTTAATACACGACTCTTGAATTTTTAACTCTGGAAATAATTTTGGAGAGATTTAAACATTCCACCACTTAGGTCTTGTTTAGCATAATTTTTACTTTTGTTTTTATGTAGAAGAAAAAGAGAAACAAAAACAATCACTTCGACTCAACTTATGAATAGTGTTTAGCAATTATATTTTAAAAGAGCTTTTAATTACATAAGAGTTTTTTTTTTTTTTTTTTGTCTATTTGACAAACCATTTTGCCAATACTCTTATATTATTGAAATAACTATTTTATCCCCGGATTGAGCTATCAATTTTTTCATATCTTGTTATCCCATCCATTGTATTTTGTTATCTTGTCCCAACCCGCAGTTTTGGTTTTAGCTATTATTCTTTTGAAAACATAAATAATGTTTGATAAAATTATCTATTGCAAAAATTATGTAAAAAAAAGAATTGTTTGTATGAAGAAAAAGAAATTCATATCACCTTGATGCCCCATACATCTAACTCCACAATAGCACCTTCTTCAAAACGCTCTTCCAAGGCTCAAAGCTCTTTTACAAAAATTAGCCAAACACTGTTAAAAATAACTTCCAGACTCAAAAAGCCAAAAACAGCTTTTGAAAAGTCAATCCAAACAGAGACGAATAAGCTCTCCTCCCTTTTGGAAAGATTGAGTGTTTAAGCCTCGATCTCGATGGGGCCAAAATTATATTAGTGAGTACGTGTTTGCTTAAACTTTCAAAAAAAAAAAAAAAAATCTTTAAAAGAAGAAAAAATAATTAGGCACATGTCTTGGTGTTTGGGTTTGATGGATCCATTAATGTATCTTTTAAGGTTTGTCTGGCAACTATTCTCATTTTGAATTTTTTTATTTTCATCTGAAACAGAAACAACATTTATGTTGTGAAATGTGTTAAATAATGAATTAGTGATTGAAATGATGTTTGGTAGCGTAAAATTTATTGCACAGTTTTTGGAAATAAAAATATGAAACACGTGTTTGGTAAAAAGTGTTACAAGATTGGAAAATAAAATGGCTAGTTAAAAGAACTTCCAGTAAGGTTCTTTTTTTGCCTTGGTTGTAAGGACTTTTGAGGTATTAAAAGAAAAAATGTAATACTAAAATAAGATAAAGGAATTAAATGAACTGAATAAATGAAATTGCATGAAAAGTAAGTGCAAAGAAATTAAATTACAGATTTAATTGGCTTGGAAAGAAATTGTTTGGAATTAAAATGCAGGTAAGGAAAAGAAAATGCTTAATTAAACATTGCAAGAAAAGGAAGTTTGCTGGAACTCAAATTGCTTGAATGGGAATTGTCATTGGACTTAAAATGCTAGAAAGGAAATTGACATGAATGGAAATATAACTGTCAATTGAATTGCATGTTTTTAGAGTGGTGTTGGACGGTTTGACGGTTTGAATA